TGCGCCTTTAGCCTGCAAAGCCTGCGCGCCCACTGCCTCCTGGGGTTAGGCTCTAACTGTCACTGAACGACGCGCACATACGCCTCATCGTGGCCGAGAGCCCACGCTTGTCTCAAGGTCGCGCCCGACCCCTAGTTCAGACATCAACTGCGTGATTGGTTGCCGTAACAAAGCATGCGCCAACATTGTGGCGATTCCTGACGCTCTCATCACTCCGGAGTTGACACCCTGACAGTCAGACTACAGTCATCCGAGAGTCAAAACTCTTTCCATCTATTCTGCTATCCTTCCGCAGAAAGGAACCATGGGTCTGGAAGATCGTAGCTGTTAGGGTAAACCTTCTTAGCCTTAACGCTTAGCGACAGTATCTCCGTTTACAAATGGAAATCAGAGTACTTAATTTGTAAAGAAAAGCATGCATTTGTATACGCGATGCGGAAGTTTTCATATAGTGCTCATAAATCTTAGCAATGGATGTGGACCATGTTTCATTTGTTATAAGCGAGGTTGAAAAATGAACAGATAGGATAATTTATAAATGGACATTCCATGGTTTTAAAAAAGCTCAGTATTTCAATTTCTCTAAAACTGACAGATACCTCTTTTTCAAGTACAAATTTGAAAAAGTCCTAATAAGCTAGTAAGTTAGTGCAAGAAATAACCCTGTCGTATAGGTTTTCTATAAAAATAAACGTGAATTTATAAGGGCGTCGAAAATCAAACGGAAAAAATTATACTACTCCAGTAATCATCTTTGTGGAATGTAGTCTCCGCCGCCAGCGGCCAGAAGGAGGCTTGCTCAAAAGCCGGCATCCTGACATGACAAAAATATCTTGGGATTTAATGAGTACTTAAACTCTACGTAAGTATTATTCTCTAATCCAAAGGCAATTTCCGAATTTTGGTTAACATTTCGTGAGATGGTACATCTACTGTATATACAGTAAGTGATCTAACGCATGAAATCAAAGGATTTTTACAAGAAACCCCCTGTTACGCAAACGCAGCGTAAGCTGCGGCCTCAAGAGTCTTACAACAATAAAGTAATGATAGTTCTTCAAAATAGGGCATGTTGCGATGGCTTACGAAGGCCTTAAGCTGTGGAAAAAATCGCTTACGGACAGGGCTCTTGCATTTCTAAGTGCGTACAAAACTCTGTAAAATCGGGTCAAGGGTCTTATTCTTAGAACAAGTAGGGATTTCAAAATAGACCTGCTAAAGCGAGCCACAGTGAACTCGAAATTGTTTTACAGTTACCTCAGGCAGAGTACTAAAAACAAGGAGCCGATACCCCTGCTGAGGACGGCTGAGGGCATAGACCTGATAGAAGATGAACCAAAAGCTGATCATCTTTCGGAATTTTTCCGGCCAGTTTTACAAAGGAAACGGCATACTACTACCCTGCCGATGACACCGACGTGGATAAAATAGTTGAGACTGTTAAGTTCACCGAGACTCTTGTTCTTAAGGAACTCTTAGGGTTGAATGAATCTAAGTCACCGAGTCCCGAGGAATTACCAGCCAAGATTTTGAAAGAGCTCACCAGTGAGTTGGCAAAACCACTCTCTACGCTCTTCCAAACACCCTTCGAGACTGGATGTCTACCAGCCGATTAGAAATTCGCGAGGATTCCGCCACGTTACAAGGGTGGAAGCCGGGTCTCAGCAAACAATTATCGACCGGTAAACCTTACTGCAATCTGTTGCAAAGTTATGGAAAAAATAATCAAGCAACAGTTAATGCAGTTCCTGGAACAAAACCATTTACTTTTAGATGTCCTGCACGGTTTCCGCAGGGGTAGGTCCTGCATAACAAATTTACTTTACGGTTTAGAACGGTGGACTGAGGCAGTTGATAGAAGGAATTCATTGCACGCAGTCTATATGGACTTCAAAAAGACTTTGGATAGCATGCCGCATCACTGCCTTATTTCTAAACTCAGCGGCATAGGAGTAAGAGTTAGGTTTTTGGCCTGGATAGAAATCTTCATTCTCGGCCGCTCGCAAACTGTCCACATCAGCAATAAAAAGTCGGCCAAGGCTGCGGTTGAGAGCAGTGTTCCCCAAGGCTCCGTTCTCGGCCCTGTCTTGTTCATTATCCACATCAACGATTGCGTCAGCGAACTGGATTGCGGTATCGCTATGTTCGCCGATGGTATCAAACCTTGGCGTGTAATTCGAACTGCGGCTGACGAAGAGAACTTGCAGACAAATTTAAATCGACTCCAAAAATGGTCAAAGGACTGGCTCTTTCCGTTCAATGAGAGCAAGTGCAACATCATTCGAGTCGGCAAAATCAATTCTTCAAAAGGTACGGTCTACCGGCTAGATGGCATACCACTGGAAGAAGTGAACGTTCAGGAAGACTTGGGAGTCTGGATCAAACCCTCCCTGCATTGCGCAAAGGTAGCCAAGTCTGTGATTTTCGTTCTGTACCTCGTCAAAGTAGCTTTATCTGCCTCCAATTCCGACTGCTTCACCAAAGTCTTCGGGACCTTCGTGCGGCCGCAACTGGGGTCCGCTATCCAAGCTTGGAGACCCTGGGCCGCGAAGGACATAAACACCCACGAAAACGTTCAGAGGCGTGCAACCAAACTTTTCATTGGACAGGATTCAAGGAAAGGAGTCCTTTGGGAAAATGACTAATTTTTCCAAAGGACGCCTTTCCTTGAAATTACTTTTCTTGGGATGCCTGCCTTCCAGTTTATA